CATAGCTGACAGCACTGGGCACTGTATATCTCCTGCAGGTCCCCAGAGGTGCCCACCATTTGGCAATCAAGGACTCAGCCACCCTGGACCATCTTGGGCAGGTTTTTGCATGGCTGGAAGTTTTCATCTCATTTGGGTAAATAGCAAAGAATGTGAGTGCGGGATAGTATGGTAAAAATACATCTAGCTTCATGACAAGCTGCCAAACTATTTTCCACCCACTGTTTTTACTGGCACATCTTTTCTTGTTTCCTCCTATGTCATATTTGTGCAAAAGGTCGCGCATGCTATGTTGCGAGTCTCCTGGCCTGTCTGAGAGGCACCCAGCCAGCGCCCCCATCCCCCCTTCCCAGGAGCTGGACCTGCCTTCCCAGCATCCCGCACCAGGAACAGTCCAGACCTTGTGAACAGGACCATGTGGGTGGTATTGGGTCTCCCGCGGCTCGGCGTAAGACGACACTCACCTGACACCGCACTCCAGGGACTGGGCTTCATGTAGGGGACCCCTGTGGGATTCAGTCTACGCTTCACCCTTGAGTCTGCCTGGCTGTGGGGACACTCTGAATTGTCCCTAAAGATGGACCATTGTGACAGGGGCTGGAGTGGATGAACTCACAGGCGGCACATGGCCTGGCTCTGGCTCCACGTGTCTGAAGGTCTGAAGCCCTTCAGGGTGTCACTGGACCCCTCACTCTGTAAGGCGATGGCTCTTGTGCCTCTGGGTATCTGCTCTTCACTCCAGAGAGACCCGCAGACAGTGCTGAGAGAAGCAGTGATAGGTGGGGGGGGGGGGGGGGAGTAGTGTCCTCAGCAAGCTGGAGGGGCACAGCCCAGACATTGGGTGCCTGCTGCATGCCCTCCACTCCCCACGGCTGCAGTGGCCAGGCTCTCCACTGGCTAACACACTGCAGTTCCACGGGGCGGTCTCGAGGCCAGATTCTGCTGCTTCTGCCCTTCGTGCTGCTGGGCTAGAGGGAACTGGCTGGTCCCCAGGATCACTTGGAAACCCACGTCCTCCAGGCCTGGCCTCTAGTCTCCTGACTTTTTGAGAGAAGCTGAAGATTTGGAATCTGTGAAAATGTCGTCAGATTTCTTACTATGGGAGCTAATTCCAGACCTCGGAAAGCTGAGGGGTGGGGATGAATAACCGCTTCCTGGGATGGCAGCTGGCTCCTCACTGGCTTTTCGGCCATGCAGGGCATTGAGACTCCCGGCCTTGACGCTGAAACAGAGGCATCGCTGTACCTGGATGTCATAGGTCACAGGTCATACCCCACTCCCAGGAGACCTCGGGAGACAGGGGTCTCAGGCCTGGCTCTGGACAGAGTCCCAGGAGGGAGAAGGGATGGCCCTGGCTCCCTTCTGCTGCTGCCTGGAGCCTGATCAGTCACACAGAGCTCAAGAGAGGCCTGTGCGGGGCAAGCAAGGGTGTCCCTTCAGGCCGTGGCCCATAGGACAGAGGGAGCAGCGAAGTGCCTGCACACACATGGACCACATGTCTGGACATGGGCAGGCCTATGCATGGCCCGTGAGCCAGGGCACCACCCTCTTGGATATGCAGGCCCACACCTGTGCTGGGTCATTCTCCAGCTGCCCAGGGCCAACGGCCAGCAGGGTGGGCACAGCTTCTAGGTAGGAAACAGGAACAGGGGCTGGAGAGGCAGTGCAGAGGTCAAGGTTAGTCTCGCACACAGCCGGCTGGCTCCATCCCTGTTGCCGTATACGAACTGTCAAGAGTGATCCTGAGTGCAGAGCCAAGAGGAAGGTTTGAGCACAGCCAGATTGTCATCCCCGAAACAAAAGCAAACACAAAATAGTAGCGGGTTTGACGAAAGAGCCCACATGGCCGGTACCACCCCCCACCCTGAGGCTGGGTCAACTCCTGCTGCTTTACGTGATCCCTGCGTCCTGCACTCAGCACCATAAGGGCTTGAGAATGACCAACAAAAACCCATCGAAACCTGGGGGCAGGAGATGAACAGGTACTTCCCTGCAGATAGACAGACAGACAGACAGTGGGCACAGGAAATTGTGCTCATGGTGATTTATGAGGAAAATACGAATCAGAATGCCGGTGAGGAGCCGTCTCACATGGTGCATTGGCGTCGTGCAGAGAAAGGAGTGGGTGGTCACGGATGGCAGGGATGGCTGGTTCGCCCTCCATGGAAGGTGGTACGGAGGGCTCTCAACTGAAGGAAGAACCGAGCTTCCACATGGCCCAGCAGCTCCACGTGCTGGCACTGACTCCCCCAAACACAGAAACATCAATGGAAAGAGGTCGGTGCACTTCTGCCATTGCCACACTTGGAAGAGTGGCCAGGACCTCGAGGCAAGTCAGGCGCCCACAGGAGCTGAAATGATGCGGGGGTGTGGAGGTAAGAGGATGGGTTCCTCAGGTTCCTTCAGGCTGGAGCTGCCGGTCCCGGGCAAGACCAGGTCCCTTCACTCCCTGGAACCAAGATGCAGGTGGAGAAGAGGTATCTAGCAACAAACCCAGCCCTTGGATTTCAAAACCTGTGACCACGCGGGGGTGGGAGGGAATGGGGCTGGGGCCACAGGTGCCACAGGGACAGTGCGAAGGGTCATGGGCATTTGGAGGTGGTGGCGCAGCACCGTGAACCATGACCCAATCCTAACCGACAGACCTAAACTGCGATGACTCTAAAATGCACATGGGCGAGGGCATCCTTCTCAGGCCACGGTGATTCAGGCGTCAGTGGGGTTTGAGAGTTTGTTTCTAAGCTTCCTCGTCTAGTCTCTGAAAATCCACCTGGGCTCTTGTGCAGGTAGCTGCGTGCAGGGGATCTGAGCGCTCTGCATAGGCTCATCCCACCCCCGCGCCCCTCTGCGCCCCATGCTCAGAGCACTGCAGCTTCCTGATGTCCATGAATTCTCACTTAGTGCTATTACAAAGCAAGATATATTTGATCTTGGTAAATAAAATGTGGGTTTAAAAGATACGGCCCTGGGAACTGGAGATGCTGGCAGTGGACAGCGGACTCATGTGGGGGAGGCAGAGCCAGCAGGGGTGCCAGAGCCAGGGCTGAGCCCTGCGACCTCTCTTTGTCCCTCTTTTCTTTTGGTTTTGGGCTACACCAGCAGTGCTCAGGGCTTACTCCTGGCTCTGCACTCAGGGGTCAGTCCTGGCAGGGCTCAGGGGACCTTATGGGGTGCCAGGTTCCCTCCCAGCAGACTAGCTGTTTTTTACATGCCATGGCTTGTACAACGCAGCTGTGTCAGAGACAAGAGAAGCATTTGTCTTGGTCTCCCCTCCACATGGGGGTGAGGTGCCAGGACCAGGAGCTACCGTCCTGCTCCAGAGATGAGGAGAGAAGCCAGAGGGGCCAGAGAACTGGTCAGAGCCAGGGCTGCCTCCCCCTGCACTCTGGGAAGCCAAGCCCCAGTCTCACGGAAATATTAAATATAGCCGGTGAAGGGACCATATTTCTCCTGCCAAAGGTCTTCTGACAGCTGAAGGGTCCCCAAAGAGCCCAACAATGGCCCCTCCGGGAGTGGAATCACCACCCTGACCCCCGTCAGCCACCTGTGACTCAGGGCCTGCATGTCTCACCTGAGCCGAGCCAGGCCCACGGCTTCAGGTTAGTCACCAGAGAGAAGCAAACCGGCATTGTGGCCCAGGGGCCACCCGCCTCCTCCTGGAGGAACCGGAAACCCGGTAGCCACCAGGGGGGAGGAGTTCCTGTCCCAGTCAGCCAGTCCCACACGTATCAGAGACCCTTCGTACTTTCACTGTCCCCAGGGTCCATGGACCAGACAGTGCTCCCTCAGAAAGCATGTCCTCACCACACACACATATACACACACACACACATGCAGTCTCCGCCACACACATGTGTACAGTCACTTCCACACACACACAGTCACCTCCACACACACATGTACAGTCACTTCCACACATACATGGACAGTCACCTCCACACACACGCATGCAGTCATCTCCACACACACACGTACTGTCACTTCCACATATATGTACAGTCACCTTCACACACACATGTACACCTGCACACATATGTAGTCACCTCCACACACATGCATGCAGTCACCTCCACACATGTTCATGCAGTTACCTCCACACAATCATGCAGTCATTTCCACATACGTGTATAGTGACTTCCCAACACAGGTGTACAGTCACTTCCACACACACATGCACAGTCACCTCCACACACACATGTACAGTCACTTCCACACACATATAGACAGTCACCTCCACACACATGCACTCAATCACCTTCACACTCATGCATGCACCACACTCTCCACACACATATCATCCTCTTCACACACATGCACACAGCACATACATGCAAACATGTCAAACATACATGTACTCACCTATCCACATGCTTATACGCAGTGCACATATCTCCACAGATAAATACACACAGACATAGACACACATACATTTACATGCTCTGCATACATACGTAGACAACACATCCACACATACAACTACACACAAGTGCACATGTATGCAGATACACATACGGGTACGTGCACACACGTGTGCATGTGTATGCATACACGCATGTACACACAGAAGTGCACATACACCTGTGCTCAATCTGCCTGCAGGCTTCCAATCTCTGCGAACTCCCGCCTGCTTCCCTGGCAGAGGACCCTGGCCTGTCCTCAGCGCTGCCCGAGTCTGAGCCCACAGTGGCCTTGGTCCCTGCGCGCGACACTTTCTGGGGAAGCAGGTGGCCCCGGCATCCCGGCCAGGTCCGGGGACCGTCGGCGAGGATGTCCAGGCGGGGGCTGAGAGGAGGTGCGATCCGGCCAGCCTGGAAGGCCTGAACGCCCCTGGGCCGGGGCCTCCGGGAGGGACCTCGCGGGGAGGGGACGGGGGCGGCCGCCCAGCGCCCCGTCGGCCAGCAGGGAGCGCGCGGGGCGTCCGGCCGCGCCCGGGGACGTCGCGAGGAGGCGCGGCCTGGCCGCTGGACCGCCCCCCGCGCCCGGACCCGCCCGGCGCCGCCGCTTCCCCGCGCGCCCGCCCGCGCCCGCCCGCCGAGCCGCCGCGATGGGCCCCGCGCGTCTGCTGGCCCTCGGCTGCCTGGCCCTTCTGGCTGCGCCCGGCCGGCCCCGCCTGCTGCGCGACGCCGAGCCCGGCTTCGGGGACTGCGACGGCTTCTTCTACGCGGGGGTCGCGCCCGGCCCGCGCCCGGACGACGCGCTGCGGCTGTGCCAGCGCTCGGGGGGCGCCGCGCGCTTCGCCACTGTGTACAGCGCCCCGCTCCGCACGCCCCTCTACTCCGCATTCCGCGCGCCGAGCCCCGCGGCCCCCGCCGATGCGCCGCGCCCGCTGCTGGAGCCGCAGGTACCCGGGGAACGCGGGGCCCGGGATTCGGGAGGTGCTGCCCACCGCTGTGCGCCCCATCGGAACCACTCCGGGGGCCGCCCGGATGGTCACCCCTACTCTCAGGGGACTCACTCCCCAGCCTAGTTCCCCAGCCGAGAGAACACCTGCTCTACTGCCCCCCGCCCCAACTGAGAGGCTCTGGCCACCTGCCTGGGCGCCCACGGCCACCGAGGGCCCCTGCTCCTGTAAGAGAGTTGTCCATCCCCTGAGCCCTGAGAAGTCTGGACCACCCGGTGCCTGCCTGGGGACAGGGAAGGAAGGGACACGGTCCCTGGGGATAGTGAACACACACTCACACCGACACACTGACACATTGACACACACACACACACACTGATGCACTCACACACGGACACACACTCATGCACACACACGTTCACACATGCACTGGCACACGCTCACACTCAGCACCTGCCGTGTGGTGTCCCAGGGGTCTGAGGGGTGCAAGGCTAGTCTGGGCTACCGTGAGGGGGCAGGGGGCCTTGCTGGGAGGGGGTAGCCAGTGCTGGGCTGGCGGCTCTCTCTGCAGCTCCTGCACTTCTGTGCCAGCTGAGACTGCGGCATCCCCGCGGCCTGATGCAGGGAAATGCGGGCTCACACACCCTCATACTCCCTCTGCAGAGTGAGCTGGTCCGGGACAGCGGCTCCACCCAGCCAGGGTGCAGAGGGGGTGCTCAGAGAGCCAGTCCGGGGGAAGGGGCTGACAGACATCCAGGCAACACTCAGGCAGGGCAGCGTTGTGTGGACTGCGCCCTGGGCCCTCCAGGGCAACGGTGCCAGGGTGCCAGGCACACAGAGCTGGTGCCTCCTTGAGTCCCATCAGCCGTGCGTGGTTCGGCCTCTGATGCTAACTGTGGCACCTCCCTTGTGCCCTGCCGGGGCTCCTGCTCACCATGTTCCGGAACTTCACCCGGCTTCCTGAGGGCCAGGGAGAAGCAGAGACCATTGGGTGCTGGTCATTCTGTGGGAGCTCGGACACTTTGGCACGTCCGGCCAGCCTGGTTAGCCCACGCATTGCAGGCCTGTAGTCCCTAGTGGAAGAGGTTTGGGTGTTGCCAGCAACATGACCCAGGCCCAGGGGTCACCTGCCATTCTATAAAAAGGCACTCTGCAAGGGCCAGGCTGGGGCCAGCACCCACTTAGCCAGAATGCATGAGCAGTGAGGAAGTTGGCCCAGAGAGGTCAGTTGCTGTGCCCAAGGTCACACAGCTGGGAGCCGTGACCGAGTCCTTCTGGTGCAGTATTCTGGCCCTGTGCCACAGGACGCTTGAACCTCATCACCGATCCTTGCTTTGCTGGTGGTGGGTCTTGGCCTCTCATCTTCCAGGAAGGCCCCCTCGCTCCTGCCAGAGGCTGCTGTGGCTCAGTGTCCCTGCTAGTTCCCAGTGGGCTGATGATGTCAGCGAGTTGAGCATGGTGTGGCCACTGCGGGGCCCCTGGTCCCCGGAGCCACCTCTTCTGGAGGGAGGAGAGCCAGGGAGCCAGAGGTGCGGCCAGCACAGCAGAGAGGCAGCTCCAGAGCCCCGCACTCGCCCTCCCTCTTCCTCCCTTCCTCTCTCTCTCCCCTCTCTCCCCTTTCTCCTCTGTCTCTCTCTCTCTTTCACTCTCTCACGCACACATGCACACACATGCACACGCACGCGTACACATGCACACGGTGGAGGAGGCAAAACCAAAGCGAACTTTACTGCCCCAAGCACCTGAGCTGTGTGCTCTGCTGAGAGGTGCTTGTGCTGTTGTGTGTGTGAGCAGTGGTGCGTGCTGTCGTGTGTGAGCGGTGGTGTGTGCTGTCGTGTGTGTGAGTGGTGGTGTGTACTGTCATGTGTGTGAGTGGTGGTGTGTGCTGCCGTGTGTGAGTGGTGGCGTGTGCTGTCGTGTGTGTGAGTGGTGGTGTATGCCGTTGTGTGTGTGAGTGGTGGCATGTGCCATCGTGTGTGTGAGTGGTGGTATGTGCCGTCGTGAGTGGTGGTGCATGCTGCCGTGTGTGTGAGTGGGGGTGCGTGCTGCGTATGTGTGAGTGGGGGTGCGTGCTGCGTATATGTGAGTGGTGGTGTGTGCTGTCGTATGTGAGTGGTGGTGTGTGCTTCCGTGTGAGTGGTGGCGTGTGCCGTCGTGTGTGTGAGTGGTGGCGTGTGCCATCGTGTGTGTGAGTGGTGGTATGTGCCATCGTGTGTGTGAGTGGTGGTATGTGCTGTCATGTGTGTGAGTGGTGGTGTGTGCTATCGTGTGTGAGTGGTGGTGATGCTGCCATGTGTGTGAGTGATGGTGTGTGCTGCCGTGTGAGTGGTGGCGTGTGCTGTCGTGTGTGTGAGTGGTGGTGTGTGCCGTTGTGTGTGTGAGTGGTGGTGTGTGCCATCGTGTGTGTGAGTGGTGGTGTGTGCCGTTGTGTGTGTGAGTGGTGGTGTGTGCCATCGTGTGTGTGAGTGGTGGTATGTGCCATCGTGTGTGTGAGTGGTGGTGTGTGCTGTCGTGTGTGTGAGTGGTGGTGTGTACTGTCATGTGTGTGAGTGATGGTGCTTGCTGTCGTATGTGTGAGTGGGGGTGCGTGCTGCATATGTGTGAGTGGTGGCGTGTGCTGTCGCGTGTGTGAGTGGTGGCGTGTGCCATCGTGTGTGTGAGTGGTGGTATGTGCTGTCGTGTGTGTGAGTGGTGGCGTGTGCCGTCGTGTGTGTGAGTGGTGGTGCATGCTGTCGTGTGTTAGCGGTGGTGCATGCTGTCGTGTGAGTGAGTGGTGTATGCTGTCCCGTGTGTGAGTGGTGGTGTGTGCTGTCGTGTGAGTGGTGGCATGTGCTGTCGTGTGTGTGAGCGGTGCTATCGCATGTTTGAGTGGTGTTGCATGCTCTCATGTGTGTGAGCTGTGGTGCCCACTTGTGGCGGGCGGTCTCTCTGTGGGCTCAGCTGCTGTGACAGTGCGGCTGCTGTGTGACTGGGCTGGACCTGGCTGGGAGATGAGCTCTGAGTCTTTGTCCCCCTCTTCCCTCCCAGGGCCCCACTGCTCAACCCCCTTTCCCTGCTGGCCCTGTCTCAGGGACACTGTCCCCATACCACCTGCAGCGGGGACAGATTCGTGCCTTCTGGCCAGTCACACTCCTGTCCGGGCACCGGGGAAGGTGCCACTGTATCCTACACCCCCTTGCATGCTCTGGGCCCGGGTCTCTGCAGCGAGGGGTCCCTGTGGGGGTCCGAGGCGTGGGGCAGGGGTGTGGGGAAGCCCCAGACGGCATCTGTTTCTCAGTTAGCTCAGTCCTTGGCTGGGTTATGGCCTTCATCTAACGACCCACTCTGAACATTCCGTCAGGAGTGTGGCTGCCAGGGTCAGGGCTGCCGGAGGACTTTCCCTGAGGAATAAAGATTTTATTCTTGGGGTTTCACAAGGCCCCTCCCTTCAAGCTTCCGCTCAGCAGGAGAAAAATAGGAAAATAAATCCTTCTCTCTGCGGGTCCTTTTCACTCCCAGCTATCTGCCTGGCCTGGCGTCCAGAACCACTGAATCTTCTAGAACCTTCTCTCCCTGAGGGTCCACTTCCAGGGCATGATCACTCGTTGCCTGCCGTTGAAAAGAAGCAGAAATAAAAAGTAGATTGGGCCCTGGGGAGCCACAACGCAGGTCACAGGCTGAGCCCAGCTGCTGCTGCCCTCCTGCACGTTAGTAAGGGGCTCTGTGGGACCACCGGGCAGTGGGCAGTGGACGGGAGCGACGGTGCCCTGGGCACACTGGAGAAACTGCCAGCAGGGCCTGACCCCGCAGACAAACATGGGCAAGTTGGGGACTTCTTCCAATCACCAAGGGGACTGGGGCAGCATTTCCCCCCCCCCCCCCAGCACCCAGGCTCCCTCTGACCCCACACCCAGAACCCAGGCTCCCCACAACCTCTCACTCAGCACTCAGGCTCCCCCCAACATCCCACTCAGCACCCAAGCTTCTCCCGATCCCACCCAGCACCCGGGCTCCCCCCAAACCCCCACCCAGCACCCAGGCTTTCTCTGACCCTGCACCCAGCACCCAGCACCCAGGCTCCCCCTGAGCCCTCACCCAGCACCTAGGCTCCCTCCGACCCCGCACCAGCACCCAGACTTCCTCTGACCCCATACCTAGCACCCAGGCTCCCCCTGACCCCACACCCAACATTTAGGATCCCCCTGACCCCACACCCAGCACCCAGGCTCCCTCCGACCCCACACCCAGTACCCAGGCTCCTCCGAACCCCGCACTCAGCACCCAAGCTTCCCCGACCCCCACCCAGCACCCAGGCTCCCCCCGACCCCCCACCCAGCACCTAGGCTCTCCCCGACACCACACCTAGCACCTAGGCTCCCCCTGACCCCACACCCAGCATTTAGGCTTCCCCTGACCCCGCATCCAGCACCCAGGCTCCCTCTGACCCCACACCCAGCACCCAGGCTCCCTCTGACCCCACACCCAGCACCCAGGGACCCCCAACCCCACACCCAGCACCCAGGGTCCCCCCAACCCCCCACCCAGTACCCAAGCTTCCCCCGACCCTCACCCAGCACCCAGGCTCCCCCCAACCCCCCACCCTGCACCCAAGCTTCCTCTGACCCTGCACCCAGCACCCAGGCTCCCCCTGATCCCACACCCAGCACCCAGGCGCCCTCTGACCTCACACCTAGCACCCAGGCTCCCCCTGACCCCACACCCAGCATTTAGGCTCCCCCTGACCCCACACCCAGCATTTAGGCTCCCCCTGACCCTGCCACCCAGCACCCAGGCTCCTCCCGACCCTGCGCCCAGCACTCAGGCTCCTCCTCCCCAACCCCACACCCAGCACCCAGACTGCTGCCAACACTGCACCCAGTACTCAGGCTCCCCACAACCCCACACCCAGCACCTAGGCTCCCTGAGAGCGGTCCCGTGGTTCTGAGGGAAGCATCTGGGTAGGTTCTGGGCAGTAGCCGCCCTAGAGGCTGGTTCTGTCTGGACTCCGAGGAGCAGCTGTGCTCCCAGGCTCGGGAGAGGACATGGGACGTGGGCGGATGCTGGCATGTCTGTGCCAGGAGTAGGCAGACCCAGTGACTGGATGATACCCTCCACCCTCACCCCGGGACAGGTTCTGGAAAGATCTACAAGGAGAGTGAGTGGGCATCTGCAGGCGTGGAACAGGGCTTTGTGGGGGAAGGGGCAGCCACAGGGGACCCCAGGGTCCCTTGCCAGGACGGCAGCTTCGGACATCCCCTACCGTCCACACACGCACCATCATCGTTTGTCTGATCTTTGAGAAGGGACGGGACTGGTCACAGCAATCGTGGCTCCATCCGCCCACAGCAAGGCCCCCACAGGACTGGGAGAAGTCCCCCCGCCCCCGGACAGGGAGTGTGGGGAGTGGCCGGGCGGAAGGATGCAGCAGGCTGGCCCTGGATGCTGGCCAGGAGGTGGAGTGGATAGAGCAGCAGCGTCCCAGGGCTGAGGGGCTGTGTCTTGAGGAGACTGTGCGTGGGGCAAGGCCCCTCCCGCCCCGAGCCGGCTGGATATTTCCACAGTCGGTGAATTCTGGTCCGCCCAGGCTGCCCCTGCTGGCCGCTCTGATAACCTTATCTGATGTTCCGAGTCATCCAGCTCCTGCGCGCAGGGGTGTGGGTGATGGGAGGGGAGCCTCCGGGGCGAGTGGGGGGGCACAGAGACCCCTCAGAGCCTGCTCACCCATCCCCAGGGAAATAGCCGCGTCCCTAAGGCTAGTGGCACTTCAGGAGCATTCTTGGTGGGGGGGCAGAAGCCCTTTTCCCTCCCAGGCAGTGCCACTGGCTAGGGGTCCCGCTTGTTCTTCCTTCCTGCCCATCTCTTCCCCACAGGCTTGTGGACCCTGGCACCCCCTCTCCTTCCACTCCAGGGCAAAAGCAGACATAGCAGCCTCCCCCCAGAGCCTGTGGGGCAGGTGCCGTCCCAGAGAGCTGGCCGGCTCAGGGGCGCTGGCCTGGCGTGGGGGCCCACAGGTCTGAGCATTGAGCTGCCAGCACGCTGCCTGGGGGCCCACATGTCCCTCCATCGATGTCCCTGTCTGGGAACAGGAAACCGACGCGTGGAGAGAGTGATGTGTTTTCTTGCTGCTGCTCCGTGCACAGGAATCCCTCACGGGATGCCCCGGGCAGGGCTCACGTGGGGGGGGGGGGGCGGGGAAGAGCCGGCTCTGCAGCGTCCGCCTCATGCTGAGAGGAGAGAGGACTCCCGTGAGCCCAGGGCTGCATCTTCCACTCACCCCAGAGGCTGCTCCCCTGCACCCACACCTGCCCTGCCCCCGAGCCCCAGGAGGCCAGCTGGCTGTTGGTTCCTCCTGCAAGGGCAGCTGTGACCCTGAGGACCCTGACGTCACGGGCTGGTCTGTCCCTGGGGGGAGTGGTGCTGTGGGAACACCCAGACTGCCTGTCATGGGCAGCAGCCTGTTAAGCGGAGCGTGGAAAAGTATGTGGACTCAGGGATCGGCCAGACCTGCCGGGTCGGATTCCACACTTGCGAGTCCTGTTTCCACCCCGCACCCTTGGTGTTCTGCGGAGTGCTCGCACACACGCACATGCTTTCACATGCTCACACACACTTCCACAAGCTCACATATGCTTCCACACGCTTGCACACGCTTCCACAAACTTGCATGTGCTTTCACATGCTTGCACACACTTCTGCATGCTGTCACATGCTTCCACATGCTTGCACACACTTCCACAAGCTTGCACATGCTTCCACTAGCTCGCACGTATTTCCACATGCTTGCATGCGCTTGCTTATTGCATGGGCTGTAGTGCTGGCATGGGCAGCTGCCTGACTGACTCTGTTGATATTATCAGATGCTGAATGAGGGTGGCAGGAAGGCATCGGTTGTCCTGGAGGCAGGAGTCTCCTCGCTCAGTGAGTGGATTGTGGGACAGGCAGTGGCAGTCGGGAAGCAACAGAATGGGCCAGCAGCTTTCCTGGGCTCCGCGTGGGAGTAGCCCCCCTGCCCCCGAAGAACGAACCAGTGAAATTACAGCCTGCATGGCCTCTGACAGTCTGAGTCACGGCTGGGTCTGGAGGCCCGAGACCCGTCTCTGTCCTGATCTCATCTCCTCAGTCTGAGTCTCTCAGAGAAAGATTTCTAGAACTGTAAAATTCATCAAGCACAGTGCTCACTAAAGAAGCACCAAGAGGTGTGCGTGGTCTGAGTGTGTGAGTGTGTGCATGTGCGAGTGTGCGTGGGCATGTATGTAAGTGTTCATGTGTGCATATGTCAGTGTGCACATGTGTGCATGTGAGCATGTGTGTGCATGTGTGAGTGTATGTGTGCATGTGTGCGAGTGTGAGTGTATGTGTGTGAGTGCATGTGCATGTGTGTGTGCGTTGTATGCATGTGTGTGTGCGCATGTGAGTGTGCATGTGCATGTGTGTGAGTGCACGGGTGTCTGCATGTGTGTGCTTGGGTGTGAGTGTGCATGTGTGAGCATGCAGGCAGGAACAAGCATGGGTGTTCATAGGGGTGTGTGTGTGTGGGGGGAAGGTTTCACAGGCCCGGGCCTGCGTGTGCCCTGCTTCCCACTGTCCTGGGGCCAGGCGCCTTGGGCTCAGCTGCCCCACACCCTCTCGTTTCAGATTGACGACCCGGACAGTGGCCTGGAGGAGGTGGTGGACGAGGCGGAGGCGGTGGCCGCGGGGAGCCAGCTGGGGAGCCGGCAGGCCTTGAGCACAGACTACGAGGGCTCGGAGTATGAGCCGGGGCAGCTGTTCCCATGGCCGCTGGGCAGTGGCGAGCAGGAGGCCGGGTTCGCGCTCACCAACGCTGTGCCCATGAGCCCGTCCTTCCGGGAGCGCTGGCACGGGAACCTGCGTGGGCTGCTGCAGCGGGCACTGCTCCCGCAGTGCGAGCCGGCCTCGGCCCTGTTCCTGCTGGCGGGCGCCGTGCCCTCGGAGCACACGCTGCGCGGCAGGGTGGCCGTCCCCGAGCTCCTGTGGCTGGCGGCCTGCTGCGCCGTGCCCGGCGGGGGCTGGGCCATGGGTTTCGTGCAGCACCCCGGGGCCGGGGCAGTCATCGAGGACGTGATGGTCAGGGACCTGGAGAAGCTGCTGCCCTCCCGCCCCCAGCTCTTCCATGACAACTGCGGAGAGTCAGAGCAGGACACGGAGAAGATGAAGAAGATTCTGGAAACCGTCAACCTGCTCCAGGAGGAGGAGCGGGCCGCGTGGGCCCAGGGGGCGCCCCAGCCCCCACCCGCACCAGCCCCGCAGCCCCCACTGGAGGCCGAGGACACGAGGGGCCTGCTGGGGCGGCTGCTGGGCCTGCTGTGGTCCCTGGTGCTGGGCGTGCTGCGGGCCGTCCTGCAGCTGCTGTGGTTTGTGGTCGGGCAGGTGGTCCAGACTGTGGAGGGTGGCCTTTACCGCCTAGGCTCCGCCGCCGTCTCCTACGTGCTGGCCATCGGCAGGGAGCTGCTGGGCATCCCCTGGAAGGTGCTCCAGGTTGTGCTGCGGCTGCTGCGGGCCCTGCTGCGCGTGCTCTGCTGCCTGCTCAAGACCGTGTGCCGCGTGCTGGGGCTGCCGGCCCGTGTGCTGCTGGACGTGGCCGCCTTCCCCGTGTACACGGTGGGCGCCATCCCGGGTGTGTGCCGGGACATCGCCACGGGCCTGGGGGGCACCCTGGTGCTGCTCTTCAACACGGCCTCGGGCACCGTAGGGGGGCTGCTGCAGGTGCTGTTCGGGGTCTTCCGGCGGGTCGGCCCCCGCGCTCCCGTGGACAACGCCGGGGACTTGTAGGGGCCGGTGTGGTGGGTGCGGGGGCTTCTCTCCGACAGATGGGGCAGCGCTGTCTGCTCCTCCCTGGTGTGTCTCAGCCCCCGTCCGTAATCGGGACGTTCCGGCCTTGGGTGGCAGGACTGCGGTGTGTTTGAGGAGGCGGGCAGGGTGGTGTTGGGGTGGGGGACGGTGAAGCCGGGCTCTGTGCCGGCTCAGGGGTCTCTGTGTCCACGCTTCTGACACACATGCCCCCTGTGCCAGCTGCTACTCAGCCAGGGAGGGCATAGCCAAGGGTGGCGTTAGAGTAAAGACCAAGCGAGGGAAGAGGCCTTTCCCCCTCAGGCTCACCCTCAGCTCACCCTCCCCTGCCTCCCTCTCCCCCCACTATTCCTTCTTCTGTTCCTCCTCCTCCTCCCGTCCTAGGACTTCCTCCTCTTCCTCCTCCTCCTCCTCCCCCTCCTCCTCTTCCTTCTTCTCCTCTGTGATCTCTCTGGACTCCTGTCCTTCTCCCTTGGGGTCCAACCGGCAGCCGTCCCCATCTCGGGCCCCCCTTGCCCCGCTAGCTGGCCCAGGCCGCCGGGATGGCTGTGTTGAGCTTCCCACACCCAGGGATGGTCTGGAGCTTTCCCTGCAACAGCTGAGCTCGGCGGCCGAGATGAACTTTGTAAGAACACGCGTGGCCACGGTGGGGCCACATCAGCCTCAAGACCCACACATGAAGCTCGTCCCCCGACCCTACCAGGCACCCTCACTGCGTAGTGCCCACAAATGACCGTTTGAAAGGCACAGGAAGGGCCACCCTGGAGGGCTTGCCTCTCCACTGGGCCTGGGCTGGAGCTCGGAGTGGACGGGGCAGCGCCTGCACATCTGGCAGGAAAGCCTGCCTCCCCATGGACAGCAGGCCCCTAGTGAGGGGTCTGGGCTCTCAGGGGTAGGTGTGGGGTAGGGACAGGGGGCGCCAGGCTGCCAAGCACTGGGAAGTTTGGCTTCAGTCAACACTCGGGGCCGGCCCAGGGCAGAGAGATGGGGCTCCTATTTGTACACTGAGGAACGTGGCCGAGCACAGCAGGGGAACATGGGCATGGAGCGGCCCCCAGAGGCTGACTTCCCTGCGGTCAGTGTGTGAGCCTGTGCTGTGCCCTGCTCCCCCCAGTGGCATGGGGGCTGGCGAGGACCCTGCAGGAATCAGGAGAAAGCAGGGAGGCCCCTCAGAGTGTGTGTGTGTGTGTGTGTGTGTGTGTGTGTGTGTGTGTGCGTGTGTGTTTGTGTCTGTGTGCACAGATGTGCATGTGTGCATTCCTGTGGACATGTGTGCACAGATGTGTATGTGTGTTCCTGTGCCTGTGCACGGATGTGTACATGTGTGTTCTTGTGTGTAGCCGTGTGCTCAGAGCCTGGCGTCCGCAGCTGGACTGAGGGTTTGCCGCCATCCCAGCAGGAGCCCCGGACGGTCTTGCTTTGGGGCCTCCAGCTGCTCGTTCGAGCACTTGGCGGTGTCCCTGTCCTGCTTGTTCTCTTGTGGCCTTCGGAAACCTGGGAGAGGTGATTAGACAGAAGGTGGGAGGGGCTGAGGGAAGGCTTGTGGGTGGGGCTGTGTGGTGGGAGTGGGCGGGCACTGCCTCTGGACCCTTCCCCGCCCCATGCAGTTACTCCCATGTCAGCACATCCATCCGAGGGAAGCGATTGTCCCATCAGCCAGCAACTCGGTTCTCAGAGTGGGCTGATGGGACGGGTGGTCCCTCTGGGAAGCAGAGGCCGGAGGGGAGAACACGAGGCCGTGTCCTGGGGCAGGAGCATTTGGGGAGGGCTCAGAGCTGAACACTCGGGGCTGTGTATGACGCGCGCCTTGCAACGCTCAATAAAGTAGCTGCTGAGTGCCTGGCCATCCTGGAGTCTCTGTGGGTGTTTGGTCTGGACGAGCGGCGGGGAGGACTCTTATCGGTATCAGAGGCCACCAGCCATGCCCAGAGCTCAGTCGGGCCCCAGCTCCTGCAAACAGGAAGCGGGGAGAGAAGAGCAGGGTCTGTCAGGGCCTAGCAGGGACAGTGCCTGGAGCCAGGCCCCATCTCAAAGATGCCCAAGCCGCCTGCCCGCCACTTTCCCCCAGTCCCCTCTCTGCCTCCTCCTCCCCAGCCCTTGGCAATCCGTGCTTTGGGCTCGGCCTTGCTGCTGGCCACTGTCCTGTCCCCCGTTGGTCCTACTGGGAGAGGCCTCAGGGGTGCAGGGTCTGAGTGGGGACCCCCGGGTCATGCCCATTCCCCTCCACTCCTGCAGTCCTGCCAGGAGGTGTGGGCAGGCTGTGGGGAGTTCCTGGGGGCAAGGAGGGGGACCAGCAGATGGACAGACGCTGGCGGGAGCCCCCTGGTGGTAACGGGGACTCAGCGCACTCACCGGAGGTGGGGGGGGGGGGAGGGGAGCCAGAAGCTTGCGCCCTCTGGTGGCAACAGAGCCTCACTGCATTGGCTATGCAATGCCCGGGCAGGCAGCCCTGCTTGGTGCCCCCTGGCGACAGTGGAGCCTCCCTGCAGGGGTTGCCCCAGCGGGGTCCCAGGTCCCAAGGAAGCCCCTTGCTTGCGGCCAGCTGCTGACTGCCAGTCTGTGACCCTTTCTCTTGGGGCGTCTTTTCTATCCAGGAGCACACGCAGGACAGCAGGCAATGTTTTTGTTCGTTTTTTGATTTTTGGCTTTTTTGGGTCACGCTCAGGGATGTTCAGGGTTACTCCTGTCTTTGCACTCAGGAATTACTCCTGGTGGTGCTTGGGGGACCCTATGGGGTGTCGGGGATTGAACCCGGGTTGGCAGTGTGCAAGGCCAATGCCCTACCTGCTGGACTATCGCTCCAGCCCCAGTAAAGAATGTTTGAAGTAAGAAAGGTGGGGATGGAAGGAAGTGCCGTGGGGAGCTGGGGTGCCTCCGAGAGGGGCTGGCAGCCCCTGAAAGCACCCCCACAGGCAGCGCGCCCACACGCTCTTCCACAGGACTCATCTGCCCCGTGGGCAAAGGACCCGGTGCTTCCATTGGAGTTTCAAAGGGGCTCCAGGCCTTGAGCCCCAAGAACCTGTGTCAGAAGGTGGGTCTGGGGTTGGGTGGGGTCATGGCTGGTGATTGCTGAGAGCTGCAGTGGGGCACAGGAGGGTCCTGAGCAGTCAGTCTGAGGCAGAAGACAGTGGCATTCAGGAGCCACTTAGAAATCCTGAATCAAGGCGCCCGCCCCATGGCCTCCCGCTGCCTCTCCTGCTCTGTCCTCAACGAGCAGCAGCTCTGCCAGTCCCTCGCCACCTCAGAGCACCTTGGGGCCGATGCACTGTCAGGACACACGGAAGAAGCAAGGGGGGCCCTGCCCGCCTCCCTGCTTGGGGGCCCGGGGAGAAGAGCCGGCCCCACACTCACACCTGGTGCTTCCACCAATGATAGGAAGCTGCAGGGAATGGTCAGATGGTCACGGCATCAGACTCACACAGCCGTCTCCCCCTCATAGTACAGTCTGAGAAAGGGTAGGGGCCAGTCAGAGACAGTGACATACTCTGCTCTCTCTGAATGCAGGGCTGGCAGCAAGGAGGGGAGACACTGTCATACACACAGAGACACACACACACTGCCACACACAGCCACACACAGCTATACACAGACACAAACTGCCACACAGAGATACACATGGCCACACACACACAGACCCACATACAGAGAGACACACAGACACACACTGCCATACACACACTGCCCCCCCACACTGCCACACAGATATACACGGCCACACACACAGACACACACACAGACACACACAAAATGCCCTCCCCTTCTTCCCCGCCACCAGCCAACCATCAGGAATCAGTTACAAGAATGACCAATCAAGGATTCCATTTAGCCGATTTTATTGAACTAATAAAATTCCTACTAATAACAACGAAATAAATTTCTGCAAGTATAAATGATACAGCTTAACAAAACCCATTGTTCTGTACCTATAAATAGATTTTTCAAAATGTCATAAAAAGTGCAGTTATGAATTGTTGTTAACATGTTAACACACAGTTCCTGTATCTCAAACCTGTTCATCCTGGCCCACCAGCGGTACCTCCTGCCTCTGCTCATGTGCTCCTACCCTCCCTCCAGAAAACAAGACAGCACAAGAAATGGAGGCTTCAGAGTACCAGACCATCACACAGACGCACCCGGGCCAGCTCCAGCGAGGCCACAAAGCCAGCAACCTGAGCGAGAGCCCACGTCTGCACGAGGCTTCCTCGGTGTCTACTCCGGGAAGCAGGGGCTCCCAGTCCCCAGAGGCAGGTGGCGCATGGGAGCCTCTAGGTTTGCAGAATAGAACATGGTCAGCGGTCACTGGAGCCTGGGGCAGTCCTGATGCGCCCACGCTCTCTCGGGAGCCCAAGGACGGACTCCGGGCTCGGGGAGAACAAGGTCACAGTAACAAAGCACGGGACTCGCCGGGGAGCCCGTCACAGCTTCGGAGCGTCGGAGTACAGAGGCCCAGGGACACGAAGGCGAAGTTGGGGTTAATACTGACAGGCCACTCACTGCACACCACGAGCTCACTCACCACTGGGGAGGGAGGGGGCTGGTTCAGTCCCCTGTTGGCTACGTGAGAGGGTCCGTCCAGTTTGCCCAGGCCAGCAGGGCCCTCACAAGCTGGCAGCGGAGCAGGGCAAGTTCCAGGGGGTCGCACGGGGTCTCTCCCTGTCAGGAGTTGCCTCTGGGCCTGACTGGTTTCAGGGTGGGAGAGAGTTAAGAGGTGGGGAGGGGGGACGCGTTTCCTTCCAGAGGAGAGGGGCACACACAGGGAGCGTCTGTGCTGGGAGAACTGAGGCCCTGGGGGGAGCAGAGGAATGTCTCAGAGAAGAGACATGAGACTCCGACAGGGAGCAAAGCCCCCAGGTCCCCTCAGTCCACCCAGCCATTTGGGGGTCGGGTCGCCCATGTCCTGTAGGAGGACAGTTGACTTGGTTCACGTCCTCCAGCTGACACCTGAAGCGGCATAAGGAGGGTGTTCCAGCGTGCCCCAGACCAGTGCTTCGCTCTCTTTCCCATCTCCCTGCACAGACCCCACGTTTCCGCTCAGACGGTCCACTCAGGCTAGGGGGACGGGGGCAAGAACGCATACTGAGCAAACTCAGCCCCTCTGCAGTCCTTCCGGGCTGTGTGCTCACCAGAGGCACCACCAGAGCTCATTCCACAGCCTGATGCCCCCAAGAATCAGAATCAAGTGCTCCCCCACCCCGGTTTCCCCCATGCGGCTGACAAGGCCTTAAAGGTGGGGTGTGCCCTGGGCCATGTACCAGGAAGGATCGCTGAAATCTCAGATTCTGTGAGGCTGGGGGATGCGGGCACGTGCCAGCACTGCCCCTCCCAGCCCCGTTAGAGTGACCTGGTGTGGGAGCAGCAAGAACGCAGGCTGTGTAGCATGTGAGCTGCTTCACATACACACGTGTGTCACCACACACCCCCCCTGTTCAGCTTCTGTCCCTCTACTACGAGGCCGTTTCTACCCGATGCTGACTGAACAGAAGTCTGAACTGACCTCTGTGTTCTGAAAAGATCCAGACCCACACTGACATCCCTGCCGGTCTCTCAGGCCACCCAGACCCAAGCCGGGGAGGGAGGCCACACGGGGTCCTGCAGGAGCAGGATTTGGCTGAAGGCAGAACCGGGGCCACCAACAAGCGGGCAGCAGGCCGAGGACAGGCCGTGTCCAAGCAGACGGGCCCCCTGGGTCCTCGGGGATGAGGTAGTGGAGAGTGGGGTGGTGACGGAGCAAGCCCAGGAGTGAGGGTCAGAGGCTGGAGTGCTGGTGACCCCAGGACGACACAGAGGCACTTGGGGAGCATCGGCAGGGAGAAGACCCTCGGCCATGAGGCCCAGCCGTGTGCCCGCTCTGGCCTGTGCACAGGCTGCTGAGCCCTGGAGACGAAGGCTGTGGCCAGGAGGGCTGGGGGCTCTGGGGCCCTGCGTGGAGCAGGAGCTTCTCCCTGGACCTCACACACGGCCGCCGGGGAGATGGGCAGAGAACAAAAGTTTTCTCTCCAAACCTGCCCTGCTCTTGGCCCCCCACATGTCCTGTGAGTTTGAAGGCCCTTCTGCTCGCTGCCCGTGTAGGCTCTGCCGGGTGGCGCCAACATCCACAGCTTGGGGCTTTCAGATGCTCCGTGAGGGGAAAGCGTGGGAGGGCATCGTGCGGGGAGCAGTGACCTACAGGGCTTGACTCGGGCTGGGGAGGGGGCGTGGTGTGAGGCGAGGATTCTTCCTGAGAAGGGCCGGAGGAGGAAATGGCCATGTGGCCGGTAGGTGGCACTTGGTTCTCATGCATGGCCCTTGGGCTTGACCCTCCCACCCGCGTCACAAGCTGGGTTTCGGGACAAGCGGCAGGTCAGAGGTCACATTCACATGCATCGAACCTGCCCCTCCACCCCCTCCCGGGTGTCAGTTTGGCACGTGAGTCCGAGGAGCCGGCGGGTACTTGACGGCTACCACCTGTGCCCCGGGCGAGCCAGGCGTCGCGTCTGAAAATATCACATTTAATATATAAAAGTTCAACTACATAAATTACTACATAGTAAGTCCGATTCTCAGGAAAACGCCCCCCCGGACACCCGCGTCAGGATTCCAAATTGGCCATCGGGCACGCCCAGCTAGGGCTGTCCATGCACGGAGGGGCTGATGACCGCCTGGACCAGCCCCGTGCTTGGTTCCTGGGTACACGAGCTGGGAAAGGACTGGGGAAGGCACTGGTGTATGCACGGGCCCCTCTGGCTGGGTGGCCGCGGCGTCACCTCCTTGTCCCAGAAAGCCCATATCTCAGCATGAATGCTTGAGGCCAGGATTGCCTGAGTCCTGCCCCATTCTAGACAGCGGGGGTGGCCCTGGGCAGGGCCCCGGATCCATCACCCGGCTGCCCCCCCAACACGCCCCCATCTTAAATGGTTTCCCTCACACAGAGTACCTCAGACTCCAGACAGTGAGCTCAGAGACTCCTGCAGGCTGTGGGTCCCTGAGCACTGTGGGCGGTGGGGAGGGGACGGGCAGAGAAGGCCTCCTCCCTCAGACAGTCCAGGACGGTGGGGGTTGCTTTGCTGAAGAAGCGTGTGATCAAGGACTTGAGGGTGTGTGGGGCGGGGGGAGGGACCCCCATGCGGCCCCCCCCTACCCGCACCTGCCGCTCAGGCACCTGCGTGCAGAGTGGATTAAAGCTACGATCGTGCCCTGCCATCTGTGAGGATGGTCACAGCAGACCAGGCTGGCCGACGCAAAAATGGGGCCTTGGGGAGGGCAACGCGGGCGTCCCGGAAGACTCACTGGCTTTCCCGCAGGGGCTGTGCGGGAGCGTCCCGGGGAAGCTTTGGCATGATGGGAGGGCACTGCCCAGCACGCACGAAGAACATCTGGCTCTACTGGGATGGGCAGCGGCCCCATGGTACCCCCCGTGGCCACCGAGTGACAGGAATGCAGAGAAACACATCCTCTGCACAGTGAAGTGCCCCATGGGAACTGATCTTTAAAAGTCCGGGGAGGGGGGAAAAATCCTCTGCTCGCTGCCATGTACAAAAACCATGAGAAAAGAAAAATGAGCAATGAAAATTTTTTGGCCAGTCTGGGGTGGCCATGCCGGGGGCTGCCGGAGATGCAGCTGGTGTGGAAAGTGGACACTCATGTCGGGGAGAGGCGAGCAGGGTCGGCGCCGAGGGGGTTCACATTGGAGGGTGGACAGCGGCTGGTCACGCTTCACATTGGTGCCAAAGCAGCATAAACAGCCAAATCGCACCCGTCGGGGCCCTGGGAGGAGGGGGCGCCGCTGTGTCCGGGTGCTGGTATCTTGCTCAGGTGGTGCCGTGGCTGCCAAGCGACAGCTGGGGCGGATTGTAAGCGCTTTTGCTCATTTCAAAAATTGAAAGAAAAAAAAAATAAGGAGGGAAAACATCCACGTGCACACAACCCCGAAGGTGAGTGGTGCCCCCCAGACGTAGCCTGATGGTTGCAGGGGCGATGGGGGCGGCCAGGAGTGTCAGGGAGGGTCGGACACACCATTGCACTTCACAGCCACAGGGGCACGTGGCCCGGCACACACAGCTGCTGCCGCCCAGTCCTGGGAAAGGTGGTCCTGCGCCTCCATGTGGGGTCGGGGCCTTCAAGTCAGGTACCGAGTGATGGCTCGGAGGGCATAGAGTAGCTCAGCCTGCATCCGGGCCTCCATGAGGAGCAGGTTCACATGCACCTGTGGGGAGAGGGGGAGGGCTCAGTTGCCTGCAGGGGAGGGGGGGGAGGGGCTCAGACACCTGCAGGGGAAAGGGGGAGGGGGAGGGGTTCAGACTCCTGCAGGGGAGAGGGGAAGGGCTCAAACTCCTGCAGGGGAGAGGGAGGAGGGGCTCAGATTCCTTCGGGGACACCAGGGCAAGGCCTGCTGGGGCCACTGTCCCCAGGAAACAGCCACTGCACTATTCTGAAGCATGCAGTGAGAGGCCTGAAGATCAAGAGTAACAGTTTCCCTCCCAACGTGAGTTCTGCCATTTGAGAGCACTCGGGCCGTCAGCCCTGCTCGGTCCCTTGGAGGAAAGAGTCCATGCCTAGGTCCAGCTGTGAGGGTGTGACGGAAAGCAGACCATCAGCCAGGACTAACAGAAGCTTCCCCATCCCGTCCCCATGCCATGCCCTATGCCTGTCAGCAGGAGCTGACTCGGGACGAGCCGAGTCCTGGGGTCTGGCAAGCATCCAGCGCAGGGAGGGGACAGAGGGCAGGGAGGGGTCGGCCATGCCCGGGGCTAAGGGCTCGAGGAGGGTTTTCTTGGTCAGAGGATATGCTGCCAGTGTAGGTGTTCGGCTCGGGATTGACAAAGACTCAGGGTTTGAAGCTGGAGCTTCCAGGACGTTGGTGAGAGCCTTCGTGTTCACTGGGCTTGGATCTAACGGCCCCTGTTTGTCTCATCCGGTGGGATGTTCTTCATGCATCTTGGGGGTCTTGTACCAAGTGCTAGGGGGCAAGGGACTACCGGTTCGTGGCCAGTAGGGGTGGGCTATGGTGCCAGGGTGACCACAGCTTGTGCCGTACCTCAGGCTGCCTTGTCTCGCAATACATTTGGAGCAAAAATTCAAAACTACTTTCCCACGTTCAGTTGTTTTGTGAGGTGGGCGTCCTGCAGGGCTTGGGCACTCTGGCCTCTGGGCAGCTGGTTCTTGGGGCTCGGGTCAGGGTCAGGTCCCTATGGGGCTTGTGCACGCTGCCACCCTGTCCAGGTGCCTCTCGTGGCCTCCGGCAGGAGGGGTGTCGGGACACACACCTTCTCCGAGTGCCTGAACTGGCGCCAGTAGCTGTCGTACATGCGCTTGGTGGTTCTCTCGGGGTAGCAGGCTACTGTCTTGATGTAGACCTTTAGGCTCCGCTCCAGAAGCTGGTTCACTTCCCCGTAGTCATAGTCATCGTACCTGGGGGTGAGGAGGGGCCGTTTCTCAAGATGCGAATGGGAGTGGCCACCGCAGACATGCTGCCGGGTCCCCACGGAGCCGCCCCCAGGTCCCGACACTCTGGATGTTCGCGTAGGACATACAGGAACCACAGACACTGTGGGTAGAGCTGGCGGGGGTGTGTGTGGGGGGCGAGAGCCAGGAGCAGGGAACTGTCACAGAAGGGAACGACGTCCGGGGCAGAAATGGGGTACGGGTGCGTGGGGTCCCTCTGCTCGTTCAGCAAGATAGCAGGTGGTTGTGGGTTACAGGTCTGGGGGGCTGGAGGGAGCACACAGCAGGGAAAGTGCTGGCCCCCTGGCTGATCCAGACATGAGTCACCAGACCAAGGAGCATGAGACAGAGTCAAGCCCGAGGGGACGCTCAGCCTCACAGGCTGGGGTTCTGCTGCCGTGGCAGAGAGAACCATGTGGAATTACTCTGGATGGCGCCAAGCCAGCGAAAGGCCGGTGGGCTCCCAAGCCCTGACCTAGTCCACTCGGAGGCCAACTGTTCACCTTCCCGGGAGCCTCTGGGGGATGCGGGGGCTATGGGGAGGGTTGCTCGGGGCCCACCTGATCCCGAACATGCAGTGGACGTAGTTGAACAGGGCCCGGCGCAGGGTGCTGGTGTCCACGCCCTCGCGCGTGGCCATGCTGCTGTAGGTGAGGCTGGAGGCCATGCGGAACTTCTCGTCCAGCAGGTGGCCCATGTCCGAGTAGAGTCTGTTCACCAGGGAAAAGCCGTGGATCTCCCACGTGTAATCCTGGCCAGAGAGAGCAGTGGTTGGTGCAGGGCCCTCAGCAGCCTGGGCACCGTCCATGTGCCCTGCCCCACAAACACCTTCTAACCACACAGGGACCAGAATGGGGGACACTGGCACAGCTGGGGGTCGGGGGAGCTTGTCCCCTTAACTGGGCACTAAAGGCCTCCAGTCCTGCAGGTAGCAGGTGGCCGGGGTGGGGCCACGGTCAGTGAAAGGGAGCCCCAGCCAGGCAGTACTCGAGCCTATTCTCTCTTTGTCCCTTGCCTATGCCTAGATGGACGGCAGGACCAGGTCGGGCTCTGAGCACAGAGAGATGGCAGGAAAAAAAAAATGGCCGGGCTCTGACCCACATGCATGTGACCGAGGCTGAGTGGACAGGGAGCTGCTGGGGACAGTTCTAGAGAGGTCCAGACACAGGTGACAGAGCAGCAGTCCCAGCCAGGGGACACAGGGGCTCCAGCTGCAGAGTCCAGACCAGGAAAGGGACCTGGGCAGGGCGCAGAGTAGGGATGGGGCAGGCCACCATGCACTGGGCAAGCAGGGGGTGAGGGGCAAGACAAGGACATCCTACACTGGACAGGGCCTGAGGAGGGGACGAGCGACCGCCTGTGTGGTGAGAGGAGCGGCCTGGACATGGGAGGGGTCTGACATGCCAACCTGAGCTGCCCAATAAGCTCCCACTTGTCAGCACCCGAGTCTGCGGCTGTCTGCGAAGACTCTGGAAGCCACGACTTGGGCTAGTGACCCCCGGGAGGCCATGGGGCAGCTGCGTTCTGCCAGGGTGTCGTGGACACTCTGGCGTGTTGGTCTCCAGGGGACCAGTCAGCTGTGGGTGAGTCCATGCCTGCACCTCCCTCCCAGGGGCCCTGAGGGTATCCCCGCTGCCCGGCACCGAGCATTTCCTACCTGGGCGCGGAACGTTGGCAAATGCTCTTCCCCGTGCCTGGCGAAGTCCTCGTACCCAAAGCCGGGGTCGTCAACGTACTGGGAGATGCCAGCAGAGATGGCCGCATCCTCTTCAAAGTCTGGGAGAGACGGGGACAGTGAGGGAGGAGCGGCTGCAGAGTGACGAGCACCCCGGCCTGTCTTCGCTCTACATTGAGGAGCACCCACGGAGGTGTCGGGGGTCCCTGGCTCTGTCCTCAGGAGTGAAGAGGACGCAGGGGCTGTCATCTGCAAGGCAAAAGCCTCGTGCCCTAAGCAGCCCCCTGACCTGGATCTTTCCCTTCTGTGGGGGTTTGGGGGTCTTCAGGGCTGCACCCCGCAATGCTCGGGAGGAAACAGGGGCCAGTTGCGAGCAAGGCATGCGCCGTCCCCAGCACCAGGTCCTGCAGTTCCCTCCCGGAACTGTAAGCCATAGCCACCTGCACTCACTCAGTCCAAACCGGGCTCAGCTCGGCCGGAATCCCTGCGGTGTGCCCCTGGTTTATAGCGAGGGCTTTGGGCCACACTGCGGGTGAAACAGGCCCAATGGGCTCAAGACCAGCGTCTGCTCCCCGGGGTGCTAGGGAGTCTGACAGCAGCCAGCCTAAGCGGTCAGCCATGAGTCGGCTGTGGTCCCTCTCCAGCAGCCCCTGGGGAAGGCCGGTGCCCAGGGCCACAGCAAGGTGACAACGATCCCCAAGTCCAGAGCACGGCCTCACCCAGTTCCGCTTGCTCTAAGGTCAGCCTGAACCTGACCACCCAGGACGGGTGTTGGTGCAGAGCTGGGGTTCCCCAGGGTCCTGCCAGTGGGAAGGTGGGAGCAGGGGAGACCCAAGGAACCTGGAGGTGGGATGGGAGTGGAGCTCAGCCACAGAAAATGCCAGGCAAGGACAGGGACATACCGGAAGGAGGGAACGAGTGGAAAGTGTCTTCCGAGGCCATGAACAGGTCCTCCTCCTGCTCTTGCTCGAAACGAGCATTTCTGTCAGCCTGCGAGACCGGGTCCTCTGTCCGCTGCTCCTGCAGCCTCTTCATCCTCTCCACCAAGGCCTCCAGCTCCCCGAGGGAGTCTGCGAGCTGCCAGAGCAGAGCCGGTTAGTGCTCTGCCCACACGCCGCCCAGGGCACACCTAGCCCGGGTCCCCACTGTCCTACAGCTCTTCTCTCTGCTGTGGGGTCTCTGCACATCCCCTGGGTGCTTTGGTGCCTTGAAGACACAGGACAGGAGCTATGGATCTCCCGGTGATGGCCAGGGAAGGCGCCATCGCTACGGTTTGTTATAGCATCAATGTTTAGTTTGTGGGGGCAGGCCTGGCTGAGGGGCCGAGGGGTACCGGGCCTGGAGCCGTCCTCCCTGGTGCCTAGCTCTTGGAGTTGTTGTCTTGGCCCCAGGCCTTTCTGCTTCCAAAGCCCCTGTGTGCTCGTTCTATACCCCAAGGGCAGGCTGCACTAGGACATGCTCCTGTTCTCAAGGCCGCCAAAGCCTCTGACCCGCCTCAGATGGAGACAATTTGCTCTCAGATGCGGCCCCTGGTAGTTGGGGCAAACATGCCGAGAAGTCATGCAGACACAGACCCCAAAGTTGGTGCCGCTCAGAGAGGCGTTCTCGATGCTGTTGTCGTTCGCCAGGTCGCAGTCGCAGAAGCTGTTCACGGAGATGAGCCGGAAGCCGTTGGTGATCTCAGGGTCCTGCTCGGGGTTGATGCCACTGCCGAAGACAAAGCTGGCCAGGGCGTGGTAGTGGGCCAGCAGGACCACGGCGTGGACCAGCTCCGGCAGGGACCAGTTGTTCTCCCCTGTCCTGACGAGGTTCTGAGACCAAGAAGGAAATGAGGTGAAGATCCAGGGGGCATCAGCGTCTCCCTTGGGCGACACATCGGAAACGCCTTCCAGGGGCCCTGGACTACAGAGCTGGCTGGGGGCAGACAAGGGGGCAGTGCGAGGCGCCACAACCCTCCACACATCCCCACAGCTGTGGCTCTGCTCCCTGCCCTGCACACTTGCCCCTAAGGCTGCTTTCACTACTGAGGATGGGAGACTGGGGACCCCGGGGGACCACACATGGAGACAGAGGCTCCTTCAAAACCACCAAAGCCAGTCCACAGACAACCACCCCAGAGAGGCCACCCACCATGAGGAAGGCAGAACCCCGCTCATACCTGCATGAAACACTTGCATCCCTCTCACCACACCCGGCATGTATGGGATGTATGTACCCGTGTGGCCATTCATGTGTCTGGGTGTGCATGTCTGTCACTGTCACTGTCACTATCCTCCCGTTGTTCATCGATTTTCTCGAGCGGGCCCAGTAACATCTCCATTGTGAGACTTTGTTGTTACTGTGTTTGGCATATCGAATACGTCACGGGGAGCTTGCCAGGCTTTGCCGTGCGGGCGAGATACTCTCGGTAGCTTGCCAGGCTCTCCAAGAGGGGCGGAGGAACCGAACTCGGGTCGGCCATGTTGGCTGTGTGCAAGGCAAATGCCCTACCCACTGTGCTATCGCATGGTGTCCATATGTGTGTGCGTGTGTCTATATATGTTTATACATGTGTGTGCATGGGTGTCCATATGTCTGGATGTCTATGTGTGCATCTGTGTGCCTGCGTGTCTATGCATGTGATTGTGTATGTCTGTGCCTGTGTCTATATGTGTACCCATATGTGTGTGCATATGTTTGCATGTCTATGCATGTGTCTGTGAGCATGTGTGTCCATGCTTTGTGTAATGGCACTACACATAGACCTGTATCGCAGATCTGTTCCCTAACCAACATGGCCCGGCTCAGACCTCCTTCGTGGGTAATCAGGGACACCCCAGGCCATGGGTCTGCTCCACATGCAGGGAATTGACTGGTTTACTAAACTAAACCCTTTTTCATTTGGTTTAGGGTTTGGGCCATACTGGAAGGTACTGGGGTCCTGGTGGGCTGGGGTGGAAGCCAACCCTGCATGTGGGGGCCACAGACACCTCTTGGGGCAGGACTCCAAATGCCTGGTTCCCCATGGAGAGCTCATTTGTCACAGCGTCTCTCTAGGCCAGGGCTGCAGCCCAGCCCAGCCCAGCCTAGCCCTGCCCAGCCCAGTCCATCCCTGCCCAGTCCAGCCCTGCCCAGTCCAGCCCTGTCCTGCCCAGCCCAGTCCAGCCCTGTCCTGCCCAGCCCAGCCCTGCCCTGCCCTGCCCAGCCCAGCCCAGCCCTGCCCAGTCCAGCCCTGCCCTGCACAGCACAGCCCAGCCCAGTCCTGCCCAGCCCTGCCCAGCCCTGCCCAGCCCAGCCCAGCCCTTCCCAGCCCAGCACAGCCCTTCCCAGCCCAGTCCAGCCCTACCCAGTCCAGCCCTGTCCTGCCCTTCCCTGCCCAGCCATGCCCAGCCCTGCCCTTCCCTGCCCAGCCCTGCCCAGCCCAGCCCTGCCCAGTCCAGCTCTGCCCAGCCCAGCCCTCCCCAGCCCCTGTTCCTCCAGCATCTGAGTGTCCACACAGTCCCCTGCAGAGGGACTCTTTCCAGATCCCCGAGCTGACCAGTGCTCACAGCTAGGAGCTTAGGGGCAACCTCACAGAATCTGCACCCTGACCTCGGAGAGGGGCCATCAAGGTATCCCTGCACGCAGGGCACAGGGGCATGTGGCCTCGTACCTGGATGTGATCCTTGCTGAGCAGCCAGGGCCGGTGTGCCAGTAGCTTGTTGACCTCACTGAGGTTGCGCAGCCTCTGCGGTGCATACTCCAGCCCGTCCAGCCACTGGGCGCTGCCGCCCGTCTTGAGAAACTCATCCACGTGCATGTTGATCAGGTAAGAGCACCGGTGGCGCGCCGCAGCCTGGGACGAGGGCATGGGGCCAGTGAGCTGGGATGCTGCAGCAGATGGCTCGCCCATGCTGTCCCCTTTCTACATCAAGCCCCTTCCTCCCAGGCTGCCAGCAACACCGCGTCCCCCCCAAATGGGCTCAGTGATGCCCGCCACACTGGGCCACCATGCAGAGCCCACCTTGGGCCCCCACAAACAGGACTGTCCTGCTCAACAGCTCAGCCCTCTCCTGGTCAGTGAGTGCCTCAGGCCTCGGATGGCCGCCGAGCACCCTGGAGAAGGACACAGGGATGCTGCTGGACAGGGGACTCTGGAAGGGCTCAGCCTGAGCTGGGGTGCTCCAGTGGGAGCAGGGCCTGCTGCTCTGGGCCAGGGCTGTGCTCGCCAGGCACTGTCCAGGGCTCTCTGGGGTCCCCGGGCAGGTAACACGCGTCAGCTCAGTGATGCGTTTCATGCAACAGAGTGGCAGATTAAATGTCACAATGCCCAATCCATAATGCCAGTGAAATAGGGCAGAATCCCAGGCTCTGATACAGACACCCCCGAGGGCAGGGCTGACCAGAGATGCAGGGGCTGTGGGGCCTGGGCCTGACACACCCAAAGGCCCTAAGCAGACTCGGGCTCAGCTCTTGCCTCTGTGGGCACCAGCCTCATTCTGGCATGTGCAGATCCTGTACATGCATGCACCCCAGAGCACACGCGCGCACACACACACACACACACACACACACACAGCATACACAGAAACACACAGCACAGGCAGGAGCACATATATGAACATGTAGGAGATACACAGGAGCACACATGTGCACACACAGCATACACATGCATACACAGCGCATGCAGGAGCACACGAATGCATGCACAATGCATGTGGGAGCACACGCATGCACACAAACAGCGCAAATGGGAGCACACGTATGCACACAGCACACATATGCACACACAGCGCATGCAGGCGCACACGTATTCACACACAGCGCACCATGATGGCGATGTAGTGGCGCTGTGGCAGCGGCAGGGGCCCGTCCATGCGCAGCAGGTAGAACTGGCTCCGCAGGAAGGACTCCAGGTACTGCGTGTGCAGGCCCATGACTTGCGTGATGTTGTCCAGGCGGCCGGAGGTCGAGTACTCCTCCACCAGGAAGCTGGTGCGCTCGTCTGCGGGGTGTGCAGGGATGACCTGGAGACAGACATGGGGCAGCCATGTCACTGAAGGGACACGGGTCAGTCACTGCTCCACACTGGCCACACTGCAAGCTGCGCCAGGGTCTCACGCCACACCCCAAATGGCAACCCCTACCAGGGGACCCGGCTTCTCCCAGGCCAGGTGAGGGACTCACCCGGCCAGCACAGCTGACAGCCAGACAGTGGCCAGCTGGGGCAGGGAAGGGCACACAATCCTGCCTCTGGACAAACATCACAGCCTCTGATTTCAACAGAGACATGTGCTGACTCCTTAGGGAACAGAGGGGAACAGGATGCACCGAGAAGTGTTGGCTGAGACATCCCTAGATGGGCCTATCTGTGTGGGTCTCACTGGGGTCATTCAAGCGGATGCCTGCCCTGAGCAGCAGAGGGCTCACACGGGCTCGGTCTGGCTCACGGGGGCACTCCCGAACCTGGCCCAGTGTGGAGGACGGCAGGGGCGACAAGCGCATGGAGGTGCTTCCTGCCCCCTTGTAGTGTCTGCATTTCCTCCTTCAGAGGAGCCAGGGATAGGTGAGGCAGGAGCACTGGTTTGCGAGGTCCTCCCAGGCCACTCTGCCCTGGACTTGCCTCAGGAGCACCACAAAGGCTCTGGTGAGGGAGGAAGAATCATTCCCTGGTGGTGGCAGTGTATTTCCAGAGAGACCCCAAACGTGTCTCTGCAACCCGGTTCCTAGTAATCCAGCAGCCAATGAACATGTGCCCGGGGGTTCTGGTCGCGTCTAAGGGAAGCCTCTGATCTGGACAGATCATCCCGGCCGCCCTGAGTGGGGTACACAGTTCTCTGAGGCTGGTTTTGGGGCCACATCTGGCACTGCTCAGATCTTCCTCCTGGCTCTGCACTCAGGGATCACTCCCAGTGGTGCTTAGGGGACAAGGCGGGATACCCAGGATCAAACCTGGGTTGCCGCATGCAAGGCGAACGCCCGCCCCACTGTCCTATCGCTCCCCTCCCAGCAATGTCTGTTTTAAAACTGAAAATCTTCAGGCTGTCTCCCTGCTGGCTTTTCAGAAGTCATATTTGAAATCGAATATGATAAAACTTAATACTTTTCTCTGACCTCCAAGTGTGCCCTGACTTTAACATGGGAGCGGGTGGAAGAGAAAAATCACTCAGCGGATTTGGGATAGTCTTTGGGGAATGTGTCAGGAGCAGAGGGCTCAGGGGCATGTGGCCGAGAGGCGGGGCTCACCTCCTTCTCCGGAATGAAGGCACTAGGTCCTCTAGTTAAGGGTGGAGACACTCGAATCCGCGCATCCTGGCAAGAAAGGAGAATTTCCTGTAGGAATGGCAGCTGGAGGCTTCCTAGGGGAGGTGGGTTGGTGCATGCTCACTGCCCAGGTGCTGAAGCAGAGTGAAGCAGCATGAAACGAGGCTGTTGGGGCTGAGAGGGACCCCACTGGCCCACAGTGTGGAGATGAGGCACAGGTGGTCTCCAGAGGGATGGAGCCCAGCACTCGCCCTGGTTGGCCACAGGAAGGCTCTTTGCATCTCCTTCTCAGAGACCCCAGTAGGCAGCTGCCTGCCAGAGCACAGGCAGGTGGGAGCAGAGACCAGGCAGTGCCCACTCTGGGCAGAGCCCTGGGCAGTGCTAGAGAGGCAGGAGGAGTCCCCAACCCTCACCCTGCCAGGTGACCCCTGGTCAGTCCCCGGTGCAGCCCCACCCAGGATGCCTTTCCAGTCTCAACGTAGCACCTTCGGGTCATTCGGGCTCTGGTGTGACTTTCTGACACCCCCCCACACACCCCTCCCATCCCCGTAACCCCTCTGTAGAAACTTCCAGTTTCCAAGAGAAAAAGGAAACCCTTTATTTAGATGCGTATATAAGAGAGTCGACTTCATAAAACAAAACAAGCAAAGTGAAACAAACCAAAGCAGAAACAATACATTGCCCTAACCTGTTCTTAGAACAAAAGTATCTTGTCTCTTTCCACTGAAGAAACAAAGTGTCCAAGAGAACTTTCTGCTGGAAACACCAATTTTCCCAGAAATGGTCAGCTGAGGGGAGTCAGACAATGATACAGGCAGGGGTCAGAGCCTGCAGGCCGCAGCTGAACCAAGTTCCATCCCCAGCACCCCATGTGGCCCCCAAACTCCACCAGAGATACTCGTGAGTGCAGAGCCAGGAGCAAGCCCCAAGCATTGCCGGGTATAACCCCCAAAACTAAAATTTTGAGAGCGATGATGCTGACTTACCGATATTTGCACGAAAACATGTTCCCCACATCCAGTTCTCTCTTTAATTCTCTAAAGTTCCAAATGTAGCAACATTAAAATAAGACACAGTATTTTGTCTTATTTTAAGACCAGATAATAAAAGGCCCTGTCCAGGGGGACCCCTAAGGAGTCCCCTGTTGGAGATCAGCCTGAGGGCAGGCTGGGAGGCTGGTTCCACCCACTGCAGGGGTGCTCTCTGGCACCACGAGGACCACACACGCAGCCCAGGAAATCGTCCTTTCCTGCAGCGGGAGATGCCAGTCCTGCTCAGGGCAAGCACCTGGCACACGACACAAGCTTCAGTTCCGGGCAGGAAAGGTGGATCAACCAGGATGAAGGTCCCTCCTGGAGCCACAGCTGAGGGATGCTGTGAGTTGTGGGTCTCAGTGAATAGCCCATGCTGCAGCTGGAGGCCAGGCGAGCGCCCATGATGGAACGAGAACTCAGCGCCTATTCTTAGAAAGCGCTGGAAACCAGCACAAGTGCCTGGGGCTGCAGGGAGGGCTGCCTTGTACAAGTCTCCACCCACACAGGGGTGCCAGGGGTGCTGCCCTGCTGAATGACCTTGTGGCCCCTCCTCACGCCTGGCCCTGGAACTACAGGCAGGGACTTCGCTCCTAAGCCAACACAGTGCGCAGAGCATCACTGGGCACTCACGAGAGGGTCCAGAACCCATTTCTTACCCACTGCATTTCGGGGAAGCCCTGAGGTGGGGCCACGTACAGCACTGCTTGGGGCTCCTCCTGGCTCTGGGCTTGGGGATCATATGTGGTGCGAGGAATGGAACCGGGTCACCGTAGCAGCTGCATGCAAGGCAAGTGCCCACCCTCAGCACAAGTTCTTGGGTGCCCTCACTATCTCCCTGCAACCTCCGGAACTAAGCGGGTTCTTCATCAGGGTCCTCCATAACCACCAATTCATTCATTCTGCCACCATGTCAGGTCTATTTCCTGCCATCTCTTTAATAAAGGAGACAAAGGGAAAAACAGTTTAAGGGTTAAAGCAAAGGTTTTTCATTTCTAGTCGCTCACCCAATCAGGCAAAGTTTGTTTTTTTTTTAGAGCCAAGCGCATCTAATCAGGGAAGGCTTCACACAGGTGGACAAGAATTCCCAGCCCCATGGAATGGCAGGTTACAGGTTACTGTCCCACATAGCCCCAAGGGCACCCGACCACACTGGGAGCTGACCCGCGATGGCTCCGCTGGCTCATGGATGGCACGTGCCCCATCAGGGGCCTCAGCGCCGCTCCCAAGCTTCTTGGGCTGCACAGTGCCCCACCCTCTCCCCTCAAGAAGAGCCCCTCAAACTGGCTGGGACACTGAGCTCCTGCCTGCAGCCTGTCCATCAGGGCTCAGGACACAGCAGGCTCCACAAGGCTCCCCGAGCATGTGGGGGGTTCCCCAAACTCGAAACCGCCTGTCCTGTAGTCACGGAGGTCTCCCCTCGCACCAGCTCTCACTCCCCATGAGGTAAACCCCACTTTCCTGCGGATCAGCTGGGCTCTACTCAGAAGAACACGCTCCAGGACCCCTATGGGCAAGAATAGAACATACACCCAGATGTGAGACTGTCCACCTCTGTCCCAAGTGGATTTGGAGGAGCAGAGACAGAGGTTCGACTTGAGAAATGGGTCCGGCCCACCCAGGTTCGACTTGAGAGATCCCCGCAGCAGGGAGAAAACAGAGCCAGAGGGTCAGCGACCCCAGCCTGGCTGCCTTCCTTGGGGGATCGCTTCCAGTGCTCACTGCCCAGCATGGGCAGAAGGAGCAAGGCCTCTCATGGCCTGCAGGTGTCTAGCCCCCACAGGGCTGAAAGCACGGGGTGGCCACCCTGGCTCCAGACACCCAGGAGAGGCTGTAATAGAGGTGCCCACTGGCTAGGGGTTTCCGAGGGAAGGTGCTGGACAGGCTCCCAGGGGGAAGGACACTGTGATTCCATGTCACCCTGCAGGCAGGCCCCAACCCCCTATGAGGGAATGAGAGTCATGCTCTAGTCAGGCCCTGTCCCCAGCCACAAGGACAGGGAGAAGAACCTTGGCTGCTGGGCACTCGAGTCCTCCTGCAAAACAGCAGAATCTGGGGATGCTGGTGTTTCTGGGGGTCCACCGGTCAGCTGTGAGTATACCCTGCCCTGCACCCACCCAAACTCCACAGGCCTCTCCATTCTTCGAGAGAAAGCACGGACTCAGATGACCGGTGTCCCCTCTGCAGGGAAGCCACTGGGGGCCACCCAAAATGAACCTTCCCCAGAGACCCTTGCCTGGGTACTGCTGTTACACAGGGTACACAGGCCGCCCACTCTGGATGCTCTACTACCCAGAACTCCCTCAGAGACAAGGGGGTGAGCCTGGAAACTCATGACAACCCATAGCCAGGATGGGGGTGGGGGGCAGAGCAGAGAGGGACACTACACCTGGCCCCTCACCTCAGGGACAGCACCGGTCACCAGTCCATAGGACTGTGAGAACAGCCCCTGGAACAGGCCTGGGGCCCACAGGCTCTGAGATCCCACCCAGTCCTGCTGCCCTCTCTGACCAGGTCAAAGGTCATGGCACCCACTCCTTTCAGGAACTCTCTGCCCTCCGCCCAGTTCACCCAGCTCTTAAGATGAGGGCTCAGTCAGGTTTTGGGTTTTTATTTGTTTGTTTGGGGGCCGCATCTGGTGGTGCTCAGGGCTTAATCCTGGCTCTGGGCTCAGGGATGATTCCTGGCAGGCTCGGGGAACCACGTAGGGCGCTGGGGACCGGTCCTGGGTCTGCTGTGAACAACGAAAGTGCTGTCACTCGGGCCCCAGGTGTGCTCATCCTCACCTCTCCTTCACTTTAAACCAAACACTCTCGTTTACTGAAGTGTCAGAAAGGCCCACTGATAATATAATTATTGATGAAAAGAACCGGAAGCAGGTTAATGGGGAGGTGGGGTGGGAACAAGCAGAGAAAACTGAATTATCTTCAGAACTAAGAGCATCTAAGAGTCTCTCACGTACAGGCCGGGGAGAGCAAGCAGGCAAAGGCCTATGGGATGCTGGAAATTCACAGAGAAGCAGGCCTCAGGGGGAATGGGTCCGGGACACAGGACGAGGCCAGCTGGGCAGAACTCCAGACAGTCTTGCTCAGAGGGTCATTCCTGGGGATGGGGTCACGGGCCAGTGCAGTTGCCCTGCTCTGCGCGAAACCCTGCAGAACCCTCCATCCGGGGAGCAGTCTCAAACTGCCAGCGGCTTCTCATGCCAAGTTAGAGAGTAAGAGCTGGTGGCAATGTGTGGGTAGATGGGAGGGGAGGGGACTGCAGCAGCCGTCACCCTGGTACCCTCTGCAGGAGCCCACATGCAGCCACACACGTGGAACACGGGCCACTTTCATTCAAGGCCACAGGGATGGTCTTGGAACTAAAGATAAAGGGAAAAACAATTTGGAGACAGCCACTATAATATAGCTGCATATCTGAGTGGTAATTTAAAAGTGATTTAAAATTTACCTAAAACTTTAATGCAATGCAAGCATTTTGTCACTGACATCTTAAGTCTCTGATAGAGACTGATAGCACAGCGGGTTTTGCCTTGCACTTGGCCGACCTGGCCGACCTGGGTTCGATTCTTCCTTCCTTCTCAGAGAGCCCGGCAAGCTACTGAGAGTATCTCACCTGCACAGCAGAGCCTGGCAAGCTACCCGTGACATATTCAATATGCCAAACACAGTAACAAGAAGTCTCACAATGGAGATGTTACTGGTACCTGCTCGAGCAAATCGATGAACAATGGGGGGACATTGCTACAGACATTGCATCTTAAGTCTCCAGAAGAAAGCTGTTAAAAACCAAATCCAGATCTCTGCTGAATGCATTTAAGGCAAAGAAAAATGGTCTGGGAAATCCAAAATACGAGTATGGGCACCTTGATGAGTCAAGGTCGGAAAACGCTTATCAAAGCCCAGTGAAGGCAATTCTGCTCGGGACCACAGAGAACAATTAGAACTGGTAATTTTGTCTGCGGGCTGGAGTGATAGCACAGCGGTAGGGCGCTTGCCTTGCATGCAGCCAACATGGTCGACCTGAGTTCGATTCCTCCACCCCTCTCGGAGAGCCCGGCAAGCTACCTAGAGTATCTCGCCCGCACGGCAGAGCCTGGCAAGCTCCCCGTGACGTATTCGATATGCCAAACACAGTAACAACAAAAGTCTCCAATGGAGACGTTACTGGACCCTGCTCGAGCAAATCGATGAACAACAGGAGGACAGTGACAATTTTGTCTGCAGAAGTGGTTCAATTGGACTCCATCTAATAGTTTCAATTTTCTCTGTCTCTTCACTTACAGAATCATAAAAAAATCTGTTAAAAATAAGTAACTTTATAAGTGAATCCCAGAAGTTTGGTGGTTCACAAGAACATCCCTGAAATACCTACACTTGGCAGGCTCTGTAAAGGTCCATCCTGGTCCTCAGAGCAGTCTTATTCCTTAATGCCCAGGGCAGCCATGGTCCATCCTGGTCTGCAGGGCAGTCTCCTCCCTGTAATGCCCAGGGTAGCTATGGTCCATCCTGATCTGCCAGGAGTTTTCATCCCTGCAATGTCTGGGGCAGCTATGTTCCATCCTGGTCCCCAGGGAAGCCTCATTCCCATAGCGCCAGGGGAACCCGTGGTCCATGCCCAGTGCTGCCACCTATACCTACTTGCTGAACACTCACATCCAGTGTCCAGGTGCAACAGGCATGGGAGAGGCCTGGCCTGCTCCCCACCAACTCCCTTATAGAGCCACTGCCACTAAGATTTACTCATGTGAGATGGATGATATTCAGAGTGCATTGACATTCCAGAGAAAAAAGAAGCATTTCCTTTTGCTAAACACTTGATCGCATTATTCCAGCAGTCATAGTCACTGGACCAGGAGCTGGAGAGCCACAGAGAGTTTTGCTGGTCAGTTGCTCTCCCTGGGAGTCTCGCGTCTTGATTCCCTTCTGTGACCACAAGTGACCAGACGGGGGCTGCTCGGTATGGCCAAGGGGCTCCCTTGGCAGGCACGGAAGCTAAGCAGAGATGGCACTTTTCCGAGTGTGGTTTGTACAGTTCTGTAGGGCAAGTCAAGTTATTTCACTGGCAGCTGCACTCTATTTCTTTGGAAGGTCCCCCTGCATTTCACAGGTCACAACTAAAAGCCCCCGGAGTGAGAATCCGGCTGCAGGACCAAGAGAGGGGACACTTGGTCACTAAGGAGGGTGATACAGCACCTCCCTCTGGCAGGCAGGCACCTTCAGCACTGACCTCAGATTTCACCTGCCACCAGGACTCGATTCCCAGGGACCTTTACTAAGTGGAGATCACCAGATATATGCAGAGAAACACACTGAGTTACAGAGGCACTCTCCTTGCAGTCACACAATTTTTTTTTAAATCAAAAAGAACGTCTCCTGGTGAGAAGCAAAGCTTCCAGAATGAGGACAGTGAGTTGCCCAGCATCTGGAATGACCTAAGAAGCTCCATGTGCTTCCAGGTCAAATGGGCACACGCCCACGGCAGCTTTTCCTGAGTACAGAACCAATCCATAGGAAACTCCTCAAAGTTACTCAAATCTACAAAGCATGAAAATGGGAATGTCCGGTTTTCCCATATGCCTCTTGCACTCAGCGGGGCTGGGAATAAGAATGTTCTTTCCATGCACAGTTAAAGCCAAGACAAAGACTGATGGTCTCCACACACTAGTGGGGTCCTGGCCCTCACAAGAGGAAAAGGAAGCAGATACAGGAACCTGAGCATCACCTCCAAAGATTTTATTAGCCTGCCAAACTGCCAGTTATTAAAAAAGAGAAAAAATCAGCCAATAGCTCTCCACCCCTCTTATTCAGCAAAAAAAAAAAAAAAAAAAAAGACACACTAGCTTATTTTAACAAGACCTGAATTAACTCCACGGAGTCTCAAAAGACACCTTTTATTTTTTCTTTCCATGCTCCAGCCCCGAGTTCTCCCTTCTAATGCTGTGAAATGCCTGGCAGAGGTGGGTTCTGGCCCTGGAGGGAAAGAGTTAAAGCTTCACTGGCTGATCTGCCTTGTGGTCCATTCCGCTTCTCACCAGCAGCCCTGCACCAACTGAGCAAGTATCAACTGTAATTTGATCCCAGAGTTTATGGGGGGAAAATAACTGCACATACTCCACACGCACACTTAATAAAAATGGTTTCAAGAGAAACATAGCCAATAAACACAAATTTAAGGCATATTTAACTGTTCGATTAACCTCCCATCGGCAGTCACTCGGCTTTCTGTTCTCAAATAAAACAGGAGGGGGGGGGGGGGAAAGCTCGCAGCCCTACTGCAAGAAAAAGAGGCTTGAAAAACAACTTTGATTGGCACTTGGCCTGACCCGCAGAGGAAGAAAAACAGATTTTGGACAAAGAGCGCAAATATTTGAGCTTGCTTCTTAGATGCTTGCTTTCTTCCTTAACAAAAAAATACACGAAGAACAATCCCAGCTGAATTGTGTTTAGAGAAACTGACCAAAACCGGGGCTTTATTCAGCTTAAACTCTCAGCCCCCGACACGTCTGCCCAGCTCAGCGTTTTTAATTCATTGGTCCTGGACCAACAGAAGCATCTCGGCTAATGTTTCGACTTAATGAAATGTAAAGGCAGAGCCGAGAGAAGAATGACCGGATCAGGGTACGACCCGGCGCAGCTGCTAAACTCCGAGAGGAGCGTTTCTGGGTCCAAAGCGTCCCCCCGCCGCCTCCCGTGCCCACCTCCCCCACTCCCCGGAGCACCTAAGCGCAGAGCGCGAGACAATCCCGGTACACTCTGCGGCCGCCCCGGCTGGCTCCGCGCACCGACGAGGGCCGGGGGTCCCGGGGAGGGCGCGCACCGGTCCAGGACTGCACGGGGGCACACGACCACCCACCCCCGGGGGAAGCACCAGGAGCCGGGGAGGCCGCGCACGGGTCCAGGACTTCATGGGGGACGCACAACCACCCACCCTCGGGAGCCGACACCAGGACCTCCGGGGAGGGCGCGCACCGGTCCAGGACTGCACGGGGGCGCACGACTACCCACCCTCGGGGGTAGGCACCAGGAACCGGGGGTGGAGGCCACGCACGGGTCCAGGACTGCACAGGGGCACACGCCACCACGGGGCTGGCACCAGGAGCCGGGGAGGGCGCGCACGGGTCCAGGACTGCACGGGGGCGCACGGCCACCCATACCCGGAGCTGGCACCGGGAGCCGGGGAGGGGCGGCGGAGGCGGGGGCCGCGGCAACCATGAGACAGCCCTGCGGAGGGGGCCCCGACGACACGCCCAGCGGGGCGGGGGCGGGGAAGCGGGCCACGGGAACCCCTCGACATACACGTCCCCGGCGTGGGGGCCCGCGGCCCGCCCTACCTTGCGCAGCACTTTGCGGCAGTTGGTGCAGAGCAGGTAGCCGGCCGCGGCGTCCGGGCTGCTCATGGTGCTGCTGTCACGGCGCAGCGCCCCCCGCGGCGGGGCCCACCCGGCGGCCGCGGCTCTCACCGGCGCGATGCGCCGCCCGCGCGCATCCCCGGCCCGCGCTCAGCCAGGCTCAGACCAGCAGCCGCCGCCGCCGCCGCCGCCGCCCCGCACGCAGGCCCCGCCTCCCGACCAATCGCGCCGCCGCGACCCGCCCCCGACCCGGGCCTTCAGCCAATGAAAGGCGCCGGTCCCCGCGCCGGCCTATCACGGGGGCCGAGGAGGCCCCGAATCTCCGGGCAAGTTAAGTTTGTCTCCGGGGCTCGGGGGCCGGGGGGCGGGTCCCGGGGCGGGGCCAGCACTGCCGGCAGGCCTATGAAAAGGGGGGGCGAGTCGCAGCCCGCGCGAAGACCCGCCCCGACCCCGTGGGTCCCTGCCGGGTGCGCCGGTGCGCCCCAGACCCAGTCGCCTGGGTCCGCGGTTCTCGGGGAGGCCTCGGGCTGCCAGGGCAGTGGGCCAGTTTTCTCGCTGGAAATCTGAGCCTCGCTGCCCAGGAGACGCTGCAGCCGCGGAGCTCTTCACATCCAAGGCGAAACCTCGGGGAGCTTTCTGCACCCTGTATCGTGTTTGCACCAACGCCAGCTCACCTGGGGTCGGGGCACTGGGCTGGGGCGCAGGGGCGCGGGGAGCGGATGCAGGAGTTTCACAGCAGGGAGCGCATGAGTGGAGGCCCGGCACAGCGGCGCCTAGCAGCTCTTCCCTCGCCACAACTCCCTCTTGTACGCACTGCCCTCAGTCTTTCTTGTCCATCACGGAAAGGCCAGGGGCACCTTTGCCGATGGTCCTTTGTGAGGCCGTTGGGGCCGGCTTTGGCAGAGCTGAAAACGGTGAGTCAGGGTTCTGGCGTGCAAGCACGGGGAGAGAAGGCAGCTATGATGGGGCACGGGCCAGCAGGGGCAGCCCGGGTTCCCAAGCCGGACGCACGAAGCCTGCACCCCAGTCAGAACTGAGGCCAGAGCCCGGGCACAAGCTGATCCGTGCCCCGCCCCCGCGGACAGGCCCCCAACTGACCCCCCCACACACACACACACTCGGGCCCCCAGATCCTTGCACCCCACCCTCCTCTCCGCTGTGCCCCCAGCCCGACTTGAACTGCACGTGGGCGCCGTGGCTTCACCCCCTGAACCCCCTTTTACATCAGCAGCATTCCCGGGTGCCCCCTGGCTCCAGGCTGGTTTAAGGGAAGGCTCCCGGGGCTGGCTCTGCTTCCTTCTCTTCTTTGTGCCCAAACAGCAGGCCCTCCTGGGGGCCTGGCTGGGAGAGGGGTGCAGAATGAGCTGGCACAGGTGGGCTCTGTGGCATACCCAAAGGATCTGGGCCTCTTACACTGTGTTAGGGACAGCACGGGGAAAACCAGCCCACGTCAGAAACAAAGAAGTGGGGCCCTGCCCTTGTCAGATTCCAGCAGGTGAGAACAGACAGGACGTTACTCTCCGTCTAAATGCTGAGGCTTTGTGATTCCCAGAACCTTCAGTAAAGGCAGCTGACACTGTGTAGACAGACACCACAGCTCAGAGCAGCAGCATGGGGGGCAAACAGGCAGCAAGAGAGCCCCATGAGATGCCGGCGCTTCTACCTCACGGAGAGCCAGGAGCTAAGACCCTTCACCCAGAGCTAGCTAAGAGTGTGCCCTCATCTTCACTCGCAGCCGATTTCTCCCGGAGTAAGGGAGAGGGATGTGTCTGGGATGGAAGGCATCGTGCCCGGGCCGGTTTTCTCTTAGTATTTTCATTCCCAATCCCCAGCCCCACCCACCCATATTTGTCTAACCTTGATTAGACTGGTAGTGGAAGTCCTTCCACCATGAACTTAAGCTCTTCAATAACTGACGCCCCCACAAAAGTGTGGGCAGCCAGGCCAGGCCCTGCCCCATCTCTGACTGAGACCACAGAGGCAAGTTAACTGGGACTCACCAGCTCACGGCTCGGATGAGCTCACGGCTCGGATGAGCTCACATGCTGTTCAGTAGGCAGCTAACTGATATATTTTTTTTCTTCTCCCGATTTTGGCCCCCGCCCCCCAGAGGTGCTCAGTAGCTGATCTTGCCTCAGTGCTCATGGCTGGCTCCCAGCAGTGCTGGGTGGGGGGAACCATTGTGTGCTGGGGGCAAACCCAGGGCTCCTGCACATGAAGCCTGTGCTGTATCCCACTGAGCATCTCCCAGCCATTTCTTACATTGTTGTGTGTGCTCCACTTCTGGGGTCTTTATCCGGCCACCCATTCGAAGAACATTACCACCAGCCCGTCTTCTGGCTCTGAAACCCTCACACCCACCACACGCGTTCTTCGTTCTCCTCCCTCATAACAACATCAAACTTCTGGATGCCTCCTTGATCCGGCCCTCCCTCCCTCCCTGTCCCCATCCTCCTTCCCTAGCCATACTGGATGCCAGAAAGAGAAGGTGGGCTGGAGAACAGAGCAAATCCTCAATCGCAGCAAGGAGGGAAGGAAGAAAAGCCCCTTCTTTTGATTTAGCATGGAGCAAGGAGTAATTCTACCCTTTCTGTTGTCTGTTGTGTCTAAACAAACTTCAGAAAAGTAGACTATGGGTGACTTGTGTTGAAAACTGCTTTTTGAAATTTATCATTTATGAAATTGGGACAGGGCTGGAGCGATAGCACAGTGGTAGGGCGTTTGCCTTGCACACAGACAATATGGCCGACCCGAGTTCGATTCCTCCGCCCCTCTCGGAGAGCCCGGCAAGCTACCGAGAGTATTCGATATGCCAGACACAGTAACAACAAAGTCTCCAATGGAGACGTTACTGGGCCCGCTCGAGCAAATCGATGAACAACGGGAGGACCGTGACCAAAATTGGGACAAGAGAACTTTAAACTTTTTACATTGTTTTCTGAAATAACTTTTGTTTGTTAAAATCCTTTAAAATCTGATTTTTAAATAAGTTCTGCAAAAAACCATGTCTTGGATGTACCACGACTCTTAGACTACCGTTCTGCTATTGATCACAGACCACTGTTCTGCTGTTAAATGCAGACCACTGTTCTGCTGTTGGACACGGACCATCGTTCTGCTGTTGATCGCGATTCCACAGGCTTCCTCAGAGGCAAACTGGCAGCATCTTTTATTCTAGATATGAAATTTCCGAGCAAGTGGTACGGATACATTTGAAGGTTCTTGATGCAATCTTCTAATAAGCTGTGCAAAGACTTAACCAGTTTGTTTTTATCCCAATGGCGGAGGGCACAGGAGACACAAGGAAGCACAAGCTCAGTCTCCTCCAGACTTTCGGGCGAGGCCGCCTCTGCCGTTTGCCATCCCTGCGGCTGTGTGTCTCCCCTTGCTGCAGTGACAGGAGGCCTCAGCACTGACCACCTCTTCCTCAGCAACCAGTCCAGCACTTAAAAATTCTCTCCTCTCACTGGGCGGCAACAAGGTCCTGCTCTGAGCTCAGCCCTAGACAAGGCTTAGAAGTCTTGGAAAAAATAATGAATTTCTCACTCTTCCCCTCCTAAATCCTCCACTTTCTGTCCACACCGTCACTTTTATTTCTATGTTTTGTTTTTTGTTTTGGGGTTTGGGGGTGAATAGCTTCAGGGGCTTATGAGTAAATGGTTCACAAGCTTCATTGTCGTCGGGGGGGGGGGGTGGGGGCTCAAAGGGCTGGAGCACAGGCTATGTAGCCAGAGTTCTGGTGCTCTATGACTCCCAGGTGCAGCTGGTGCGGCAAAAAACACCAAACCAAGACCAGGTTCCTGTGAGTGACTGCCACTGCCGCAGGCTAAGTGTCCTCTTAGCTCTGTGCATGGGCTCCTGCACTCCAGGGCTTTGAAGCAACCCCTGACAGGCATTTTCCTGTGTTGGGACCCTTCTGCCCCTCCTCTTGTCTCTGACTGAGCCTTGCTGTGGTGCGTGGAAGCTCCGGCATAGCTGAGGGTGTGGGAGGTAGGGACTGGCAGATAGTATGTGGGGACAGCTTGCTTGGAACTGCTTGGATGTCTGGATATTCTCACCTGCAGGGTCCCCGTAGCACTCCCAAGTAAGGATGCACGGGAATATCAAATCCTAAAGGTATCCATAGGGTTTAGTCCTTGAGACAATAGGTTCTTTCTCAAGCTTGCTTTCTTGCCTTCTCTTTCATTTTCTCTGCAGTGGGGTTGGAGTGGTGACCACAAGCTTTAGATGGGGAAGGGGGTGGGGTGGGAGGAAGGCTTCTTTAGTGACAGATTTGTGAATCCTAATTTGCTTCTTGCACAAAGGAACTTGTACTTCACACAGCTGTAAACTGACTACCCCCTTTGAATTGTTCCTTGGGTTCCTAGTACTCCACCCCCAAAGACCCTACTGGAAAGGAGAAACAGTCAGAACTCCGACTCCCATATCCCATTGCACCCTGCTGTCAGCTTCCTCCATCCAGTTGCACCCCCTCCATTGACTTCCTCCACCCATCCCAGTTCCCCCATTGAGGAGAGACTCAGATTGGGCTGGGAGACTTATCGAATGCTGATTGATTGCCAGATAAATGGGGACAATTTAGGGTTTAAACACTTTTTATTGTGGGCACATAGGTGTACACATGCCAGTCCTACATCTGTGGGTACTAGGTGATGTGCACCCCTCCCACCACTGTCTCCCTTGCCCCCTTCACCTAACTCACGCATATTGGTCACTGTCACTGTCCTCCCGTTGTTCATCAATTTGCTCGAGCAGGCCCAGTAACATCTCCATTGTGACACTTGTCACTGTGTTTGGTATATCGACTACATCATGGGTAGCTTTGCCGTGCGGGCAAGATACTCTTGGTAGCTTGCTGGACTCCCCGAGGGGGAGGAGGAATCGAACTGGTGGCAACCGGGTTGGCCGCTTGCAAGGCAAATACCCTACCTGCTGTGCTATCGCTCCAGTCCATTTAAAATCGGTAATGAGAACGATCTCTAAAGATAGAAGCTGAAGAGATCACAAACATCACCAAACCCGAACAGACAGGATTGACTCTGACCCTATAGCACCATATCACACCCCCCGCCCCCCACTTTTCTGGGGACTGAAAATGAATTCCCCTGGATGCAGAGTTCTGCAGGGAGAACAGAGGAAACACTGGTGCGGATCAGAGCAGCACTGGCTGGAGCTGCCAGATCGGTCT